TTCACCTCACATTTGGAATGGTTTGTCTTCATTATTGGAATCTTCAGCCATTTAATTGATTGTTCTTGTTTCAGTTAGATTCATCATCCAACTTTGTCGAAACTTTTCCTTTAAATTGATGTGAAAAATTCATTGATTGATTGATTTTTACTGTAAATCGTTATGAAATGAAAGCAGACAATGGAATATTGATCTTTATTTGAGTGTTGTTCATATACATTCATGATCTCATTCGAGATCGAGCGTCCAATTCATTGTTTAATATGACAAATAATTGATCTTCGACTTTCTAATCTTCACAATGAACCAATCTTGTACGTGTGCAGAATGTAGATGATGAAAAGGAGGGAAATTTTTATCGAAAAATATTCACAAGAAGAGATATGTGAATTCGCGTTAGTTTCAGAAAAATATTCTCCTTCATTCACTAAAGATTCGCATTTGGAAATGTTCGTCTCAACGAAATTATTCTCCCTTGATGATAAATGAGTAAAAGTAGAAAAGAAAAGAGATAAAGAAGTTTGTATTATATGATTGGAAAGTCGTTTTTCCCTCTACTGAAAGGAGAGTTATGCGTCGAGCAGGTATTACAGAAAAAAACCAGTTGGTTGGTTGTTTGGTTCGTTCTTTCACATCACTGTTCGATAGTGACTTGTTCAGCGACCCTAGTGGAGGACAAAGTTCGACCGAAGGGTAATCGAGGTCGAGGATCTCGAATCCGGTGTTAGTTTTTTCATGAACACTTTCTGGCCCGTTTTTTTGCGACAAAGGATCGATTTTTTTAGACGATAATGTTTTAAGCGGCAATATGTAGAACAAAATGTAACAGCTGACTGACGTTCGATCACTGGATATCCATAGTCATCAGCATATTAATGAGATCACACACTTATAAAAACAGCTATACTATACGAATATCATCTGATGCCAGCCATTCAAAATAATGTTTCGCTTGTCAAGTGTTGTCTTCGAGAGTCACAGTAGCACAGAGAGAGTGACTTTTAAAGAGGGAATAGAAGAGAATGAATGGATTACTTTCAAAAGTGACTCTAGACTAAATGGAAGAGTGAAAATGTACATGTAACGACTAGTCGTCGATTTCCAGAGTAATATTTTCAAGAACAAATTTTGTGATTTTTATAGAGCTTTAAGATTCCTTGGACAGAACTTAATTGTTGCTCTGCACGAACATAGCTAGCAGCTATTTAAGGTTCCTCGTGGTGGAGTGAAGATGTAAACTTTTTCTAGAGAATCATATAGCTATGTAAACTTTCTAAGTTTTTGATTATGAATTGATTTTCCGAAATGTGCTCATTTGCAGAACGCGTCTTCGTCGGAATGAAGTTAAGATAGTAAAATGAGTAGGCATGGGAACAGCTAGCCGTGAGGGGCCGACCGAAGGGAGGCCGACGAACGACTAGTTGTCGTTTTTGAAAATTAGTTGAAAAGTGAGATTTATAAGGCTGTCGCAAAGTGTCCATAATTTTTCTAAGGTATATATATATGTATATGATATCTTTTCGAGCTTCTAGAGAAAACTATGTAGATCACCAACTCCTTCAACTAAAACTGATAACAAAAGATATACTGTAGGTCACGAAGTTGTGAAGAATTTCGGCAACTTTGCTAGAGACGGACTCAACAAGAACGAGGTACTTTTTAATATGAAAATATCATTAAACACTTATTAGGTACCGACGGCTAGCGGTGAGTGGTCGACCGGAGAGAGGCCGACAAGCGACTAGACGTTATAGTTTCAGAAGATTTCAGGAAGCGAAATTGGTCTAGGTAAAACATTCTGGCAAATTATCAAACGATCAGATCGTTCAACTGAAATAACTTTTTTCTCTCTTTGGACGAATAGTAGAGCTCTAATACTATCCTTTCAGTAGAGGGTTTAGTGACTACTAGGCCGCGTTACTTGTTCTCTTTAGCGACGTAGTCGGATAAGAAATAAATCTTTTGACCATCGACGAAATGAAATCAAGTTTTTCCAACTATTATGATAAAGACCAATACAGTGGAATTCTAAATGGCTTCTTTACTCATATACATAACACTGACTAATAAAACTAAACTTTCATTTATCTCAAAGAGAAATTTCTTCTAAGCCATTCATCATAAAGTGTAAAAACTATAACATAATCAACATTCAATAGAGAAATGGTATGAATATTTGTTCGCGCTGGACTATCTCACTGCTTTATCGAACATATAAGTCTCACTCATCTACACCTTGAACGACAATATTATATCTGTAATACACCCTCACCCATCTGGTGAATTTTCGAAAACTCACTATAACTCTCTTATTGATGATCAGAAGTATATTTTGTTGAAAACAGTATAGAAGATATCATCAATGCATAATGGGTACAGAAACTGACTGCAGAAAAAGGTCATAATGTCCTGGTTTATGTACCTAATTGTGACGAACTTGTTAATACAAGTGGAGAACACATGGCAAAGCAATCTATTCTCGGTATGGAAATGCAAATAATGATAGATCTAGGGACTCAATCGGTTACGATTCTCTCCATAACTATACCTTCATTTGATATGAACCGTTTTCGAATGAAAGTTCAACGTACAGAGTTATGTTCACTGACTTAAAAGCCGAATAGATTTATTTATTTTCTTGCAAACACTTATTTGATATTATTTTTCATAACAATTTTTTAAATAAGAACAGAATTGTTGATATAAAGATACAAATAACGAAAAACCTCTCTATTGTGAACACTTACAAGACTTTTCAAAATCGGTCAGATTGACGGGATAGAGGGACGTTCAGAATGTGAAGTTTTACTGTATTTGTCAAAATTATAAATGAGTTACATAGCAGTTATGTCTTTATGAAGAAGGCGGATGTCCAGGACTAATCCTATTTCGAAAATGTCGAAATAAATACAAGCCAGTATTCATAAATAGAGGAGAAATAATTTTCAATGCAACAGTTAATCCACCATAAAAGCCAATGATTGCTATTAAAATATACAATATATCAGCACGTTCTTCAATGGAGTATCGGCATGAACGAGGTGAACAAGTACGATAATAATTGTCATAAGAGATATTGAATTTCCATTCCTCAATCAATAAACGATTAACAAGATTTTGAACAGTTTCGTTTGAAAAAGAAAGATTCGAATTCAATGGTGAAACAAAAACATCTTGAAAAGAATAAAAAGATTTCAATAAATTAATACAATTAATATCATAAAGACATTCTAAAGTTGATTGAAGAAGTGAATCAATGATATAACAACCAATTCGAAAACCAGGTATTGACGAGTTGTCAATCTTTGCTAATGAATTACACATAGAATTTGTTGCACAAGAACAATTCTTTTCATTTCCATATGAACGTGGTTTGGCCCATAAAAATGCTAAATCTTCTTTTCTTAGCGTTTGAAAATACCAATTCGATTGAATTGATGCAAGAATTCCATTTCCTTGACCCATTTCTCGAATCAAATCAAGTGTTAAAACAAATGTTTTACATATTGTTGAACGAAATCGTGTAATTGCATTTTCAGTTTGATATTGAATAACATCTTTCGATTGAATTTGTTTACTAATCAAAGTTTTCGAATAAAATCGAATTAAATTATTCATTACAGTTGTTTTAACAACATTACATAATAAAAATAATGTACGAAATTGTGGTAAAGCAAATAAACGATAATCATCATATGGATGTTCATCATCGATTCCATATGAATAAAGAACATTTGTCCAATTGGAATTGACATCGGTAAAATCACTTGAACAAAGTTGATGAAAATGAATATCAATTGAAACAAATGAATTGTATGGAATTGTTATTTGTTGACAAGAACATTCTAATGTTGATGAGATTCGAGAATCTAATCGAAGTTTATTGAATATTGTTTGAGTTGGATAATCAACTGTAATTGAATTGGTTTGAATTGATAAAGAAGTAAAAATAATGAGAATAATCACATTAAATACTAGAAGAAGAAAATAAATACGAGTAATTCGAATTTCTTTTTGACGATGTTGTTTCTTTTGCCATGAGATTTCACTTTCAAATATATTATATTCTACAAGTTTTTTCTTCAATTGATTTAATAATTGAAGGAGATTATGTTCTCTAACATCTAAATATCAAATAATGATAAGTTATAGCTCTGTGTTTAAACAGTAAAGAGAAAGTGACTTTCGTGTGACTAGAAGAATTACCTTCATCTCAAGTCCAACATTGTGATGATTCATACAATGCTAATAAATGCATTGATATCTTTTTATTTTCGAATCAACTTACTTGATGTATTAAGATTTGGTCGAGATCGATTGCGTATCCAACGAACAATGAATGAAACAAGAATTTTTAATGTTATAGAAACACCGCCAAATAATGCCATGAGAAATGTAATCATATATGAAACAGCATTGTGTTTTGTAGTTGTATAAATACAAGATATAGGAGCACATTGATCATAATAACCATCGTAATTTATTTCTTCACCCCATTTTTCAAGCATTAATTCGTTAAATATCAATTCGATTGATGAATTTGGTAAATATCGAGTTTGACTTTGATTGAGATTGACTATGACAATCGATCGATTAGACCGAATCGTTGTTTGAATTGTATTTAAACAAATTTCATTATAGAAACATTCAAGTGATGATTGAAGAACTGATCGAATTGCAAAACAACCCGAAAAGAATCCTGGAACATTAAATAAAAGATTTGCTGGATAACCAAAAGGTGAATTCGGATATTCATAGAATCCTATTGGAGAAATACAATCATCATTTAATGCACAAGAACAATTTCCCCAATTTATTGAAGAATAATGAAGATTAATATAAGAATCCGTAGTATTCAATAATTGATTAGAAATATCGTCTGAATTTTCCATGGAAGTACTCTCTGTATTCATTATGTATAATCGAATCATATCGAGATTTTGTTTAAAATTAGCAATAGTATCCAATTGAAATTGATTGAATATTCTTTGAATTTGTTCAATCATTTCACTTTTAGATAATACGATTTCTGTAATATATAAAGATTGTTTGAAATTTAACCAAGAATTTCTTATTATTATTTCAGCATATGAACATAAGATTTCAAGCACTTTGAAAATAACTCGACCAGTTACTCGAAAATCATTAACGATAAAATATTGATTTGGCCAATTCAAATCCGACAATGAAGCTAACCAAGCAGACGAGATGAATAAACTTGAACAAACTGGATGATATTCGGGTGATAAAGACAAGAAGTTTTCATATAAAATAAATGATTGTTTACATGGACATTTAACTTGACTTGAATATTTCATAGATAAATCTTCAAATGTGTTCTTTGATGGTTGTAAAATAGTGAATGTCTGAGTACGAGTATTTACGAATACATAAATCATTAAAATACACATTATTAAAGAAAAGAGAATAATATAAATACGAGTTGCTATTCGTGATGTTTGCAATTCATAAGGATCATCATGTATAGTATCAAATTTTTTAAATAAATTCAATCGTTTTAGTTTATCAACAGTTGAATGGTATAAGATTGAAAGACGGGTCATCAATCGAATTTCTATATGAAAAAAAAAGAAGGATTAAGGAAATATTCTCTTTTCGACAATGTGAGATATTACAAAATCACATTCACATTAGGAATCAGTTATGTTTAAATGAGAATATATTCGTAGTATATAAGATTAGATGGCCATGTGTAGACTATAGTTAGGGAACTGTTTATGTCCTTGATTTTTTTTCTTAAATCCATGATTATACGGTAATTGGCTAATGAACGATTAATTTTTTATAGCACCATCTTTAATTATGCTTAAACTTGAAAAATAAAAACTTTACGCGATGTGGCTGATTTCAGCACACCTACAAATATGAGGAAGCGCCAGTTTGACTCACATGTGACAATTTTTTAAGATTTAATTGTAAGAAACTGGAGTTTTTCTATAGAATACGTTTGAATTCTCCCTTCCTCGATTTTCATCAAAATCTGATGATTATCTGACAAACGATGATTTTCAAGAGATGAAACATCTTTACATATCAAGACGCAAGGAGAAGAGTTTCGTTTCTTCAACGATTATATCGTTCAACTTACGAGTATTTTGTACTGATTCATTAATGTGAGCACATCTGCTAAATTTCAAGAGTATTTGAGGTATAAGAAAACGAAGTACTATAACTAATCCACCATAAAACCCTAAAATTTGTGTTATAACATAAAATATATTACCATATTGAATAAATGTATATGTACATGAAAGTGGTGCACATATATTGTAATAATTACTAAATGAATAGTTAATTGTCCATTTTTCAATAAATAAATTGCCAACAAGTGTACTGACAAGTGTATCAATTGAATATTTTGTTTGATTTCTATTTAAATAGGTAATATTGATCGTATTTTTATGAGGAAAGAAATTCATTATAAGATTGAAACATTGTAAATCAAAGAAACATTGAAGTGATGATTGAAAAAGTGACTCAAGTGGATAACAACCAACAACAAATCCTGGTATTTTCAATAGTAATGATTGTGATGATGTATAATCACCCGTAGGATCAGTTTCATAAGCTAATAAATCAAAGAAACCCGAAACTGATGATGAACAAGTCGATTGTGTGTCACAAGAGCAGATTGTGTCATTTTGATTAGAAAAATATGCCGAAAATAAAATTGATTTTATTAATTCATTAGAATCCACAAACATTATGCGACTTATTGAAGTTTGTAAAGCATTTTGTAATGTTTCAGCATAAGTTGTTCTACGAATCAATTCTAATGATTGAAGAAAAGTATTACTTGCAGATGTTCGAATAAATGAACTTCGTGATTGACTTTGACCATCAAGTAAATTCAACGAAAGAACAACCGGTGAAAGAAAAGCATCAGATAATAAATCTTGAATTTGTTCATTGAGAAATTGTTGTGAAAGTGAACATAATGATGAAAGAATTTGAAATTGTCCCAAAGATGATGAACGAAAATCAAGTGGATAATAATAACTTATATTATAATTATATAAAAGATTAATCCAATCATTACTGACAAATATACTTGAACATATTGGATGATAATCAATTATTATATTGAGAAATAATTCATATGGAATTGTTATTTGTTGACATGGACATATTAATGTATTTGGATATTGTTTAAGAAGAGTTTTAAAATTGAATTCTGATGGATTTTGAATAGTTATAGTACGATTTTGACCTTGAGATGCCGAATAAATGATAAGAATTGTTAAGAGTATTGTAAAAAGTATAATATAAATTCTTGTCGCTATGATTGCTTTGTGTTGATCAAAATTTTCTAAACGAATTATTTCCAATTCAAAGAAATTCAATTCTTTTATCTTTTGTTTAATTCGACGAATAAAATTCATCATTATTTTCTTCATCTTTCTAGAAACACTAACACCAAAATAAAAACTTTCTTTTTCTTGATGAGTTACTAATGAGTTTTCTTTCTTTTTTCTTTTGAATTGAAAAGCTATAACACCACTCTATGAGATTTGATTTTGTCAAAGGGCACAGCACATTCCTCATTAGTTTGACGAGAGTTTTTCAAAGTTTAACCTACTTGATTATAATATATTTATAAAAAAAAAACGAAGAACTTGTCGAAATGGTTTTATTTCTCCATATTATAACAAAACAAAACGTTGCTTTAGATATGATTTTGTTCAGTTTTAACTATTCATTTCGAAATCAGCTATAATACCTATTTGCTTTCACATGGATTTATTAGGAATGACAACATTTTTCATAATGGTCTTTTACAAAATCGGCCAAACGTAACAATAACGTTTCTTTTTCCTTCGATATTATTTTTTACAAATATACACTGAAAAATAACGAAAAATTCCGATGTTCACCTCATTCATATTCATTGGGATTTTTATAACATGCTCTTTATTTATAGAAAATAGATCTATTTCTAATTCGGAAGATGTCGATGCCTAGACTTAAAAATGAGTCGTGAGATTTGTCACGTGTCGTGCTTTGTTTCTTCAATAGGAATTGTATGCAATCTTTGATATTCAGTATATCTGGTAATAAAACAGGAGGTATATCATAGGAATCAATCACTATTTTGATAAATATTGTATTGTCTTGAATATAAGGATTTTCTTTTCATTCAAGTATTGCTAATGGCCACAGAATTTTAATATGCCAATAGAAATATCCTTATCTGAATAATAGAATCGAAGAAGTCAATAATATGTCGATTTTTAGAAGATTAATCAAATAGACAAAATATGATATAATAACTGAATGGGTATTTTAATACTGCATCATAATCTCCGCTTAACAGAGTTAAAAATAATGACATGAGTCCGCCTTACATTACCGGCACCATTAAAATACAGTCGAACACGCATCTTATAACCATTCGGCGATGAATACAACGGAGATGAATAAATCAAAATTTCACCTTCACATCGCGTACCAGCTGCAGAAGAAAAAACTTTCAGCGTAATTCCTTAGAAAATTAAAAATGTGAAACACGATACAATTATCGCAATTTCAATAATGGTGATTTTGGGTGAACATTCTCTGCATCATACATAGATAAGTTTACATTCAATGCGTATTTTGCTAATTTGCCTGATTTGATATCGACACAAAGATTTTCAGCATATTAAAAGCCATCTTTCTGATGATTATTATCTCAAGAACAAGGCAGGGTAGTCAGCCTGTCGGCCATGTCTGTGGATGAGGGGATGGATGGATCCAAATTTCTATCCCTAAACACCTCAACAGTCTCTTTCAGATCGTGATTCACAAAATTTGGAGTAAGCTGCAGTAATAGTGAAGTATCGCTTTTCCCCTCTTGAACTTGCACCACCTTCTAAAACCACTCGTCCTTTTGACCATCGATCCATTTTTATCTGTCCAGCAGTATCAAAATAGAAATCATCTGACGTTGATAAGAGATGTTTCGGCATGTCAGGATCGAGCCTCTCGTAGCCGCGTTCTTTACTTCGAAAACAGAGACATACGATGAATTCGCGAAGATGAGACGTCAAATCTTCGAATGTATATCATTAGCACCAACGACTAGATCGACCTATTGACCAGATAAACGAAATTCCGGTGCACGCTCCACTACCACAGATTTCATATCATAACGACGTTAAGAACAAAGACCAGAGCAGAACCAGCAACTCTTCCACTGACTACTAGAATATTGTAATTTTTCCCTCGTCCTTCAAGGCTGGACAGGGATCGACGTAACAGTGTAGAATACATTGTGCGCTGTTAATACATTCTGGAAAAAAAATCAGACGAATCAGGTAGATGATCTCTCTGATTATATTTTATTCGTGATACTAAAGATCTATCAGCCTACTAAATCACATAGCAGAATGTTTTTAAGCAAAAGAAAACTAGTAGTCAGGTGAAAACGTTTTCAAAGTTAAACAAACGAACGCATTTTTTCTATTCTGTTCGTGTGAAACTGAATGAAAGGGAAAAAACTCTCGCTAAGCACTCGTATATTGAGAGCGACGGTAACAACGCGGCTACAGGCACCAAGACACCTATTTCGACTCTGTAACTGTTAAACATTATTATGAATGACTAAACGTGTAGTTTACTTGTCATCGAAAGTTTTGATTTAGTTTATTGGATATAATTGTTACAGTAATGTTCTGAATGAGACAGTTTTTTTCAAGTAAGAGGAAAGAAAATCGGGAGAAAACTAAACGAACGATGGTATCACAATTTATATCATGTTACCAAATACACTTTCCCCATTGACGTATAGTTATCTAAAATGTTAAAAAGAATATACGTAAAGGAGAATCATTTCATAAAAGCATGAAAACAGGAAATGAGTAAATTTATCCATTAGAGAGGAAGACAAATCTTTTATTCAACAAAAAAATGGTTATCGCTGATAACGGATATAAAATAAAAGTCTTGTCTATTGACATAAAACGTTGTTGCTCATTTGACTTCAACTAAAAACAAAAACATTTTTACTAATTATAAATCAATGCTCTGTCGACATTTATATTCCTATACAATTTTTATGATTTTATTCATTTATATTCAATCCCAACTTAATCTCTATAATACGAATAAGGAAATAACTTCAACAGAACATCATTGTTTACGTATTGTGTATATTCATCCCACCGAAAATGCTCCTACTTATTTGATACTATATTTGTGTTTGAGTGAATTATCATCCAAATTTCACATTGAAGAATCGACTTTATCCTCCAAAATGACTTTTTCTGATCTTGCAAAAATGAATATAACTTGCGAACAATTATATCATTCGTCTGTACCAATTGATCTTATTGAAAATTACCAAGAATATTTAATATCAAAAGATTTTTCCTTAGGACAAACAATTTATTATAATTGTTCATATCCAAGATTTGGTGACATGTGTCAATATGAATTTCAATTATTGAAATACTCTGCAGGAAACTTCATTAATACGATTCGGAGTTATATTTATTCATTTATATACAGTGGAATGGAATTAACATGTTACATTCACTTAAATTGTGATTATCGAATAAAATCTTCATGTTTAGATTGGACAGAAATATGCGATGATAAAATTGATTGTTTAAATGATGGAATTGATGAAAAATATTGTTGGCAATTAGAAGTAAATCAATGTGATGATGATGAATATCAATGTTCAAATGGACAATGTATTCCATTAATATTCTATCGAGATGATTCATATAGTCATGATTGTCTTGATGGAAGTGATGAAATACAAGTGCATTCTCGTTCACATTTTGAACACGACGATGTATTATGTAAACGGTCGCTTTTCACAAGTTCTTGTCGAGATGAACGTGAAAATATTATAATAAAACAAATCTATTCAATAAAAAATGATGATATATCAAACAATTGTTGGTTAGCATTTCAGTGTCTTATAGAAGTACCTGATAAGAATTTCAAATTATGTAAGAATTTCTGTTCAATTGATCTATGTAAAATCATAATTGAAGAAGAATGTCCAGATTTACTTTATATTCCACAAATTCCAATATTATTCAATGATACTTATTTAGTTTATTCAAAAGATGATATTAATCAACCGTTAATTCATCCATATATCTGTTCAAATGATATTCATTATCAAAATATATCAAATGATATAATACAGATTAGTTTTAATAATCAGAATTGTTTTCGTCCAAAGAAATTTTTAGGAACATATTATGAAGATACGTTTCCATATGTTTCTGAGAAGAAATTTAATAGAATATTATACAGAATTTATCGATTTCATATAAGTTTTACTTCATTGATTATAAATTCAACATCAACGTATTGTCAACAACCAAATATGTATCAATGTATGAATTCAATGAAATGTATTCCTGCATTTCGTTATAGAGATAAAGCATCTGACTGTCCTTATGGAGATGATGAAGATTTATCAAAAGTAGATGATCAATTCTTAAATCAACGACCCCAACATGAACTTTATAAATGTCAAATGTTGAATAAGTCTATTTTTATGAGAGAATTTAATGATAATTTTAGACATTGTGACGTTGATCTATATCATTATGCAGAAGATGAAAAATTCTCTGGATCTGAAAAACATATTATATCATTTCAAAATTTATGTGATGGATATACTGAAATACGTTTCAAACTTTCAGGTGATCAACTTTTAACAGATGAAAGTGAATGTGAACATTGGGAATGCAATAATTATTATACAGTTTGTGATGGAATATGGAATTGTCCGGATGGTCAAGATGAAACTGGTTGTCCATCAAATTCCACATTTAAATGTCCATTAAATTACCATGCATGTATTTCAATTCATATAAAACAATTAATATGTTTACATATTGACAAATTGAATGATGGTCAAATTGATTGTCTGAATGGTTTTGACGAACACAATTCATGTCTTTTACAACATGAAAATATGTATTGTGATAATTTATCTAAGGATCAGTGTTCCATTGATTTATGTCGATGTCATCAATATCCAAATCTTCTAAATGGAAAGATTTTGTATAGACCAACTAGAAATTGTACAGCATTTATTCACGACCACGAAGTAGGTCCTGTTTCGAATTTTTGTATGGGTACAATGTGGTTTTGTTGGGAAAAGGCGCTAAAATATTTTTCAATGAATACAATTAATAATCAAGCGATAATTTCAAGAAAAAATCTAAAACATCAAATGAAAAATGATATTCTACCAACTATTCCAGTTGCATCTGATTATGATTGTCATCGTGGATTTGTTATTAATATTTTAACAAATAAAAAAACATGTCTCTGTTCAACAAGTTATTATGGTTCACAATGTCAATATCAAAGTCAACGTATTCATCTTTCAATTCAATATCAAGCATTATCAGATTCCTGGCAAACATTATTTGTTATTAGTA